TCGCGTTATCAATGCGTTATCTGTGTTTAAGAGGGGAAACCACAAAGCTGGGGTCCTTGAACTGCGTTTCCCTCAAGAGCTTTATCTGGATCGGTACCTCCTCATGCGGTTATAGCCAGCTCATAGCCTACTGCCCCGTAAAGTGCCCATTTTGGATACCAATGTGTTTCATAGTTCGTGTACCTAGATTGCGCATCTTAGGTTGGCAGAACTGCATGGGTACTCAGGGTTGCCCCTTTTATCTGCCATAAGACTATGGGAACCCCTCCCCTCACGCCCTTGCCCTGTAATCTCTTTATAGTCCCTGCAGTTTCCTTTTTCAAGTATCCCCATATAACCCCAATATAACCCCTATTTCACCCCTAAATAAACCCTGTATACTATAGAGACTATACAGACCTTACAATCCCTATACAACCCCGTTTCTCCTGGCCCAGGCACCCCCCGCGGACTTGCCGTTAAGACCTGCCAGGGCCCCAGTGCTGCATTGGGGGCCCCGTGTTTTTTTCCTAGGTCAAAACTATTAGGTCTCGCGTGAAGCGTCTTGATATGTTTCTTCCAAGCGGGGATCTTCAAGATCTGACCCATGTGAGTCCTTGCCTGGCGAGTCACAGGCTAAGGGTTAAGGGATCTAAGGTTTGGGGTTTGGGTCGATTAGCCCAGACATCGGCCAGGGGGGTGGTTTAACATGTTTTGCTACGGTTCGCAGTACACCTTCAACCGACTGCTAAACCTAAACGGAGCCTGCATGGAGTCATGGTCGCAAGCCTCTAGTGCCTGCATACTCCTCATGTAATCCCTGCATGATTCGTACATGATTCCTGCAAGAAAGCCATTCGTAAGCCCTCCCTCCCTCAGCCTCTTTACAGAACTGAAGTTCAGGCAACTGGCAGTGTGCAGTCTTTCCGTTCGCAGCGATCGAGGCGCAAGGGAGCAATCTAGAGATCATAGCAGGCTACCCAAATACAGTTGGATTTCCTCTGTAAGAAGGTTTCCCTTCTAAGCTAAGCGCATCCCTCACGGTGCAGACAAGGTGCAGGGATTGGTCTTCTCTGACTGCTGGACTGCTGGACTTATGAGCCACGCGTCGCATCTTCCTTTCTCAATCTTCTTTACCTGGAGGTACAGGGTTGAAAAAGAAAGCCTTGCTCACAGTACCACTGCAAACTACCCGATCCTCCCATCCCTCTACAGCAAATGCAGTGTTGTGTAATAAGTTGCGGCATGACATGGAACCTCGCAACTGCGTGGGAGATTTGCACGGGCCTCTCAACATGCAACTTTCGCTGGTCAAGGTCTCCGGCAGTGGAGTATATAAAGCCTTGACACGAACGTGTGTCCTAGCGGAACAGAAAAGGCGAACGGTTTCTGATGGCGCCGCCTGTAAAGGGTCTTCTTCTGTCTGACGATTTGCTTGAGCCAGGAAGATCATCCCTTACTTTGCTTTGGTACACTTATCCCGGAGGCCCTGCCCTGAACCTTCAGCGTCAGGCACATGCTCCTATTTCGTATTTCGATTTCTCCAGCAGCCCACACAATAGAACACAACTGCAACTGCAGGCAAATGCATGGGGAGCCCATCTAATCCTGTGTTTATGCGTTGGTTGTGTAGTTTGATCTCATTGCGGCCATCCAGTTGCCTCGCTTTGTAGTTTGGCATTTGGGGCCTTCTCAGTTGTGTTTCCTCTGTTTCATACCACCCCCCCCACTTTCCGGAAGCACACCTTTGAGTACCCATGCGCATCACTAGGACCTAGGACGTCTCATGCGCAGGGTAGCGGCCCTTTGCAGCAGGTCCTCCTCGAGGGGTGCGATGCTGGGCTTGGCTTAAGCCACCCAGGCGCCCTGAGCCGGGGAAGGGCGGCGGCCTGCCAGGTGTTTAGTGTTAGTAGCGAATGGCGGCATGGAACACTGGAGGTTATTGTTCGGATCTTGTTTTTGAGGCTTCGGTGGGGATCCGCTACCGAATTCGCTACGAAGCATCCGCGCGGTGAAGGGTTGGAGGGTTTGGCGGAATTGATGGAACTGAAGTAGTTCTGTGTTGTGTTTTTTTTTGCCATCCCCCACCAACATGGCGACTGACCTGCAGGCCTTGGCAGGAGGATGCGGACGTAGAGCTCGGGGCTTGAGCTGCCAAGCAGCGCACCTTCCCTGAGCATTCGAGAAGGAGAGTCTTGATGGAAGAGTCCAACTAGGTCAGTGGTAGGGGTTTGATAGGTTGGCCTACTGTGCCTGATTTAGTTACATGCTTATACCTACACCTAGGCCTTGTGGAGTTTGCTTGGGCCAGCATTCCCAGGCCCACATGGGCATGTGTCACCAGCTGTAAAACACAGCGAATGAAGCACTTGGGGCTGTCTCAAAACCATGGTCCCCTTCTCGGGCTGCCTTTTGAATAGGGATGCTGACGGGTTTCTAGCTATCCGAATCGGGGCGGGGTCCTTATGATACGGCACCCAGGGCTTCGAGGACCCTCACATAGCTTTGCAGGGGGGCGGTGTTTTGAGACATAGCCACCTGTATATAGGCCCCCCGCATGACCTGTGTGGATCGTTGAACGCAGTCCTAACCTTGGCCGCCTTTCGTGAACTATCTGCTAGGCGGTGGAGTGGAGGTCGCGCAGGGGCGTGCATGATCTCGGCGTCATGCCTATGTCCCGCATCATGCCATGGACAGTAACTTGCTAGGCAAAGCGAAGCTGCGCAAAATCCGCTGCCTGCTAGCGGCTGCCAACATTAATCCACTGCTTGCTGCCACCGCTGAAAAGATCCCCTCCATAAAACCACCATCCCAAATTGTGAATAGTTATTCCCTCAACATGTTTCAGTATATGGTTTTATTTCTAGCTTTGTACTATAATTACTGGGAATACGTTTTCAGTATTCGGGAGGGGCTTGCAGCATTTATGCTTAAAAAGTTGCAGAAACTTGAATGATTAATGATTGAGAAGGCTCTTGCTTACTAATTCTTTTACAATGGTTGTGTGGTATACCTCTCAGATCCGAAGCAGTTTTTGATGATTCAAGCCCCTTCAAGCTCAACCACACATGATAGTGTATGGTGCGACAAGAAACGGCCTTTCAAATTATTCAGGCCTAGAAGCATGCAGAACGGGGTAATGCTGCTTGGCAGGCTCTGCATACGGGTCCGAAAGGTTTGCTGAGGGATAAAGAGTAGTTCAAGTACGAAGCACGTGTGCAATCTACAAAGCACAACAAAGCCTTGTTAGGATGCAGGCTTTGCCCTACACCACTGCAACGCATCCGCAACCCTGAACCTGCAAACCACCAAAACTGTAAGTAGGGACCTTCATTGAATCCTCAACTACACATAGCCCTCTGGATTGATAAGCGAGTAATATTCCCTCGGCCCCCCCCATCCCAAGCATGCCTCCCAGTTCCAGTCTAATCTCCCCCGAAAACATCCTGCGCTGCCGCGAGGCCTCTGTGGCCCAAGGGGAAGTTCCCAAACCTCAATCCAGGTAGCGCATTGAATCCGGCTCTAGGTGAGAATCCCCTGCCTGGAGCTGACTGCGCCTGGGACTCCCCAAAATGAGATAAATCTAGGTTCGAACCGTTGAAATGCAGAAGCCATTGGTTGCCATTGGGTGGTAGCAGATATTTTGTGAAAAGGCCGCCAAATCTGCATTAGCCAGGGCTTGAAGGGACTGCTAGGGGTTGAGGTTTAGCTTGTTGCTTGGAGCGTCTGTAGATCTTTTCGATCTTATTGTTTTTTGGCTTCTCCTGGGTCAGCCCTTGTTGACATGCCCTGGCCCCGGCATCTCGCCGATGAGACCTTCTGAAAAGTCGTTTTTGCAGCGGCACGCTTTTACATCGGCAAGCCGGGTCATGTTGATTGCTGATGTAGAGCTTGTGGTGGGGCAATCTCAGCAAAACCATTATTAGCAGTATTATTGTTATTATTATTGCTATTATTGTCATCATTATTATGATGGTCGCAGTCGTCGTTGTTGTCGTAGAGTAGCAGAAGCAGTAGTGTGGTGCTCAGTGCTCCTGCTAACAGGCGGACTCAGAAAGCCTGTTGCAAAAAGTGGTGGTGGTGGTGGTGGTGGTGGTGGTGGTGGTGGTGGTGGTGGTGATGGTGGTGGTGGTGGTGGTGGTGGTGGTGGTGATGGTGGTGATGGTTGTGGTGGTGATTGTGGTGGTGATTGTGGTGGTGATTGTGATTGTGATTGTGGTGGTGGTGGTGGTGGTGGTGGAGGAGTGGTAGTAAGTATCAGTAGCAGCAGTAGCAATTGACGTTCATAGTCTTGATACTAGTCATAGCAGTCCGGAGTGAGCTTTCCCCTCCTGAATTGACTCATCTGAGCCACCGCCACTGTAGCTCCGCATAGCCATTGCTTGCCTGCTAGCACCTGCAATCACGTACCCAAACGGCCAAAATCATGTGTGATTTCTCCAACGTGTGCCCTTTGTGTCCCTTGAGAAATAATGCCAGCCTTTGAAGCTGACTTGAAAAAGACGGGCTGGGCTGCATCCTCGACCCGCTTGTGTCCGCCAGTGTGTGAGGTACAGGTTTGTGGCGGTTGAGCAGGATCAAACACTCCAAGCATGCCAGGGGCTGAGATTTTTAAAAGGTGTTTACAGCATTCCGCAGCTGCTTATAAGGATTCTTAGGGCCTCTAAGGCCTTCTTCAGGGATGGAGACATAATGCTTTCCCGAACCATTTGCTTGGCAACCATGGGATGCGCTTGTAGGGACCTGGACTTGCAGGCTTAAAGTACTAATGAAACCTGATGGGCGGGGAAGGGACCTACGGCCACTGTAGTTTTAGCCAGCTCCTATTTCTTTTGCGCCTTGTTGCTTGTTTTGCTTGCACCGAACATTTTGCAACTTGTTTATCCTTGCATGCATGTGCAAGCTGGAGGCCCCCTGGGTTTGAGGGTATGCTGAGAAAGGTGGGCTTGTTATGCCAAAGCTGTCCTTTTTGGTATATCTTGTACATCTATGCAGCAGGCACCTCCAGGACCTTGATGGGCATGGCAAGCCACACTAAGCATGCACGGGCCCGTCTCAACAAGCCCTGAGAACAAATGATTGCTTTCAAACTTTACAATCAGACAGGGATTGCAAGCTATGCGTGTTCTACAGGGAGATGTGTATATGGGGCTTTAGGGATGAAAACAACTTGCAATGAAATGGAAGCTGAGGTTCCACAGTGGCGGATATGATTAGGGCTAGCAATCAGTCAAAGCCCCAGTTATCGCCAGGTAAGAAGAGCCCACAGTCTCTTATAGTTGCTAGAAATAATATGCCTTCCCAATCCCTGAAGCCAAAACCCTAAATGCAAAAGACCTACCTAGCTCACACGAATTTTAAGAGTGCCACAGGGTGTCGCCTTCCATGTCTTTCGCTGGTTTGCTGCTGCTCTTGTGCCAATCCTGTGGTGGCGCCTGGGTCTCAGGGGGCAGCTTTGGTGCTTTTTTTGTGATAGCGCGGGGGAGGGGTTGCCAGAAACTAGGGCTCTCCGGGGTTCCTAGAACAATCTAGCCTCAAACCAACCTTATAACCAAGGACTAAACATCTTTTTTTGGCATCTTTCTGCAGTGCTCTTAGGTTCTGCTTAGGCCAACTAGCCCCAGGATAAGCTCATCATAACGCTCTTTCATGTTTTTTTTGGCAATAGGCAGGGAGCCTCCAATGTTTGGAAGCACCCTTCCTTGAACGACTGCAGGGATTCACTGGCTTGTGTATTCAACTTGCCTATGCAATGCTGCTCTGACCGAGAAGCCATGTTGCGCTCAGCGTTGCAGCTGGAATCCTGCGTTCACTGCTCCCTATGCGCCACAACTTTCTAACAAACGGGAAAACGTGGAGGCTTTCTGCTTTCTGGAATCTTGATGTTGGATGACTTCGCATGTGGCACTTGTGAGCAGAATTCCTTTATGACCTCTTGCATCACGATAGTATTTTGGACCCCCCCAACCCCATTTTTTGATAGTCACGATGTCACGACGTAATGCGATGCAATGCGCGCGGAGCAAGAGCGCGCCGGGCATGGGCAAAAACAAAACATTCTGCTTGAATCCTTGCTCCCGGCAGATAAATCCGCATGTAGCCCTGGTACGAATCTAACTTCCATTTCTTTTCATCTTCTTTCGCATTTCGTTCTCCACTATTCTCTATAGTGCTGTTGAAGCCCTTCTAGACTCAAACAGAAACCCAATTCCTTTTCATGTTTCCATTTCATTTTTATTTTCATTCTCTCTACTATGCTATCCTTAATTAATTTCCCTGTATTTCTACTTATACAACCACTGTTCACTCCCCACATAATCCATAGATAAAGCCCTACATGCCCCAAATCCTTGGCGTAACACATTCCCTATATGAACCCTATATCAATCCCTATGGTAGCCCTTGGTGAAGCAAGTGTAAGGTCGGCTTGAAGGGCACTGCGACGGCCACACTTAGCCCGGAGCTCGGACGCGAAAGTTTAGGGTTTTACACTGGTTGCAGTTGGGCCGCGTCTACTTCCCCGGGCGCCCGGGCGACTCGCCGCGCCAGCTGGGGCTGCTGGGCCTCACGGGATGCTGCTGGAGAGTGATCTTGTTCCCGTGGCAGAAAGAGGCCCGCGGTCGCTGTGGCAATCTCGGCGCAGAGCAGTGCAGGAATGGACTAGCGGGTTCTTTGGGCCTGGCTGCCGCCATCGCACTTGCCCTTGGGTGGGCGGTCTCAGGGTGCCGGGTGCGCTCGAAGGTGGCGCAGTTGGGGTCCGGAAGGTATGGCCCCCATATTCTATCAGCAGCTATTGTTTCCAGAGTTGCGAGCCACGGCTACTTAAATCACCATTGATTCCTGACAAGGTGCCGAGATTGAACTCTGAACCTCAATGCCTCTCTCCATGACTTCAGCCCAAACTCCAAACCTTATCAGTCCTCCACCTAGCTTCACCTGAAACCCAGAGTGCTTTGCAAGAGGGAGTTTGAGGAAGGCTTGCGTAAGGCAACGTACGTCACCATCACAAAACCTCAAAGCCGAGCACCAGAAACCCTTGTCTGAACTTGCAAAAGAGCATGTGTCAAGCTATGCCCGATACAATCCTGACCGCAGATCCACAGAATACTCATGGATCACAATGGCACACTCAACCCCTTACAACGTTATAACACGAGTTATAACACCTTTAATGAGGCCCTAAACTTTCTTTTGAGAATCTTCCAAAAGCCCAGGCGTGTCCACGAGATCGTCAACGAGCCGGAGTCCCAAGTGAGCAGTGTCAGAGCCTGCGAGCAGTCCATACCGAACCTGATCAGAGTGGCACAGGGCGATGAGGAATTTCCCGCGTAGTTTTTCAGCATATCTCTTGATCTTCTTATCATGCAACGCGGAAGAAACTGTTTCGAGGCCGCTTTGTTTTGTCCGTCTGGGGGGCTGTGTAGAGCGACCTCCATCATGGCACGTGCAGCAATGCCAAAAGAATTGTGCAGATCGGGAATTGGGAACCCCTGTCAAGCTACCAGGCACCTGATTCCAAGTTCAGTAGCCATCTAAAAGTAGATGGTCTTAATTAACCAGGATCAGAGTGGAGAGTATGAATGACTTGGTGTCCTGAAGATGCCGATTCTTTGACGTGTTGCAGTGTTGCACTTTCTCTCACTCAGCCTTGCAGTCAACAACGGCCCCTTCCTACTTTGAGGTTTACATCCCAAGCAAGACAATATTTATTTGTCCCACTTGGATCCCTCCTCGTATGTAACTACCCCAACATATGCCGCCCTGCGTCCTCCCAAAGCACTGCCGCGGTCACAAGCCACTTCTAACTAATCACTTCCACACATCGCCCCTCCCACAAGGATATTACTTGATTTGGATTTCTACTCCATTACAAGTAATCTTGGGGCGTGCGTGAGGGAGAGGTGAGCACCCATCAACCCCGCCTGTCCCTGGACACCAAACCTCTCTCAGACCCTAAACTTAAGATTTGGAGTATGTGAGCTATAGTCTAAACTCCTTAAAGGGGGCTTATATAGGGGAATATTATGTGGGTTATTAAGGGGGATGGCTCATGTGCTGCTCAGGTGTGGACTACTTCAACCCCACCTTTGTGGCGCCACAGCTGACGCCGAAACAGTGCCGGCATGGCAGTTTAGGACTTCCAGTTTGGTTTGGCCTTCAGTTATATAGGGGAGAATGGAAAAGAACATGGAAACTATCATATTACATACGGTTATTAGGATTATATGGGGTTATAAATTGGTTCTATAGGGATAATGCAAAGTGGACACTACTATTATGGGTTTAGGGTGTGTAGAGATCAGGCTTTAGAACCTCCAGCTGCCCTAACTACCTCCTATCCTGATTTCGGTACATGCTATGGAGGATGCTAAGCCCACCATTTTTTTTTTTTCTGGGCTTCAGCTGGGGATGGAAGTACCTTTCGCAACGACATTTTTTGAGTTGCCATGCTGGAATCTCGACTCAAGGTATGTAAAGGATCGTGATCTAGCTTTGCAGAAGGATGTGCAGACATGCATTCGGGAGGTATGTTTTCAACAAAAACCTGCCAGGTACTAAACTCTAAACCCCAAACCCTTTAAATGAGCCATGCCAAGCGGGGTCAGTTAGATCATACTGCGAAACTTCAGGGACACCCTCGGAACTCCCCCTCCAAAATCCGGTCACTTGCTGGGTCAAGGTTCCTGCTCATCTCCAGTCCTGCGGAGAGGAAAATTGTTTCTCGACATTCAAGTTTAGGGCCTTTCCAGGAAAGAGGGAGGAGGGGACTAATTGGAAGGCGGGTGGTGTCAAAGTATATAACTATTATTTCTGTATATTGCGTGTGTATATGCCTGTACACATATGTATATGTGTGTCTGCCTCAAAAGGTGTATAGTAATCATGTGATAGAAGGCTTGTACGAGATCACTCCGGCCCTGTAATATAAGCTGGCCTAGAGGACTAGAGACCAGAGAAGGTGCTTCAGAGAGTGAGCCCCGTAAGCCGGAATCGCCAATCCTACTACAAGGGCCTGAAAATTGCCAATATCAAATATACATTTTTCCCACAGCGTAGTTACGCAAGGAATCTATAAGCATGATATTGGTAATTTTTTCGGTCACCATAGTACCGCCCTCCCAGACCAGGCAAAAGGCATACGAAGGGATTGTGGGGATACATGGGGATTCTCTAGCTGTAGTGTAGAGATCATGCTCCTCAAGGCTAACATGCAACCTGTACTTTTTTGGTGCGTTTTTGGTTTGCTTCAGGGAGGGTATGCATAGGTTGCGCTGCTCACAGACTTTAACCTGAACAAGGCTGTGCATATGCTCTTCTCCAGGCTGCCAGCTACGCTGCAGGGTTAGGGGCCTTTCAAATATGCAGGAACGTGCTAGCCTAAAGACATCAAAGAAGCGCTCCACCACTCCTAGCTTTGAGAGGCCCCCGAATGTTCTCCCATGTAGGTCTGGGAGCTTCAGAGGGTAGAGTCACATCCTTTCGCTGAATACTGGGACGGGCAGGATAGCCAATTGTACTGTTCCCTTGTATCACTTGTTGAAATCTAGTTGCGAGTCCCTCAGGATAGAGATACAGGTAGGCAGTTTACGCCAAAGCCTCGGGGATAACGCGGCTCAAAGCCCTGTAGCTCTCAAGCCTGTAAAAGGCCGCATGGGCCTCTTTTTCAGGCCTCGATGAGGGGCAGTAATTCGAGGATCTGTGACTTTCCAAGGGGTCAGCCGAACGACATCCAACACACACCTGATGCACTAAGCCCCCGCGGCCTCAGCTCCTGAGCACCAAGCTCGCAAAGACCGCAGGTCAAACTCGCCTAGCCCCCTAACTCCCCTGATTGAAAATAATCGTCATGGTTTTATCCCAAACATGCCTTTGGCCCTCAAAGGCCGGAATCTGTGAAGCTGAGGTGTACACGGAGCTGAAGCAGCTTGGCGGGCTCACAGCTCTTAGTGTTGATTTGGTTGGCGGAGGCTGTCAGGCAATTTCCAGGAGCATAAGCTAAGAAACAAGCAGCCCTGGGCCAAGCTCGGCGTCTTTGGCTCCAAAACCTCATGTCGCACCTTGCAGCCCATGCACAAGCCCTGGGTCCTCTCAGCCCCAAACCTGAACGATTGCCACCGCCCCTGCCGTTGATACCATCAGTGACGAGAATTGATGGTGATGCTGCCACCTTCTTGCTGCAATACTACTTGCACTGCAAGTAGGATTGCAGTTTGGTATACCGTTTCCAAACACTCCATATGGTACGGTAACTTCCCGGGGAGGCTTCAGCCCCATTGTAATCTTTCCTATAGGCTCCAGCTTGCCAACCTCGATAGATGCCGCGTCAGCAGCTGTACGAATTACAGTGCTGTTGGGGACTCCTACGTTCTTGAAGGTTTCAACCCGGTCCACATAACCCAAGCAATCTTCAGGTGCATGAGATGACCTGAGAATATTCCTTGCGAGTGTTTCTTATCTCCCGCCTATGTATGGCTCTTGCCCCACTGAGCCCCAGACCCTACACAACGCTCCAGACTCTAGAGCACTGGGCCACAGCCTCCACCACCACAGCCATAACGCCTAGCTCATGAAGGAACTTCAAGAGCACCACCGGCCGGACCTTTGCCCTGGTGGACTCCGGCCTCTCCACGCCCCAGGACCCAAGTCATGCAAACACAGGAAGTGCAAAGAAAGGGCACCTGAAATGCATGCAATGACCTTATGGCAGGTCATTCGTTCCCTCACAAGGTCTCTGCATTGCCCAGTCCTCCAGGACCTGGCCCTCGATGGCGAGAGGGGCGCGCCACAGTGGCTGCAAGTCGTAGCAGCGGATTTCATGGGCTGTAGGTTTCTGTTGGGTTTTAGAGGTCGTCTCAGAGGAGTTTTGGAAAGGTTTTGTACGCTTCCAGTTAGGCCTTTCCGCACTGTCACAGCACCCTCTACCTGCAAAGAAAGTGCATCTACGTTGTCGACAACTGGAACGGTCGCAGAGATGCAGGTATTGGATGCCAGGGGGACGAGGCTGGCAGCAGTTGTCGTTGTCGCAGCAGCCACTGAGAAGGGGGGACTTGAAGCAGGGAAGGCTGGGGGTACAGAGTGGGATTTCTTTGGAGTGACCACTATCGACATTCACGCGGGGAATGGGCCTGCACCAGGAAAGAACGCTATCTTATTTGGGATTCCCTCTCCCCCCTGGTCAATCACGCCACAGCCTCAACAATGAGGATGCTCAGTAAGTATCATGGTATGTTGGCGGTTCCTGTGGGTTGACGCTGCCCCACCACATAACAGGTCCCCACAGTGTAATCTTAGCAAAATTAGTATTCAGCATGAATAGGGGTTTTGTATATGATTTTCTACAGCTAAAAGCACACCCGCACACAAAAAACACAAAAAAACTATAATAATCAAATCACCCGAATATTAAACCACCCACCCCTCTAATGTTGGATACTCCCAATATGATACAATGTAATATACCACTCAATGGGACTATTTAATATTAGGGGGTGGGTGGGTGGGGGAGGGGTTAATATCAGCCATAAACCCTAAACCCTAATATAACAACCCTTACATACCCTCTTTAAGGGGGGGGAGTGATACTAGGGGATGGGATTAAACAATCCTTGTAAACGCCTGCACGTGATCATCGGAAAGGTTTCGAGAAACCCGTGGCTTGACGTGATCCTCTCCGTGATCTGGGTTGCCGTCAAGGAACTTCATATAATGGGTATATAGGGTTTAGGGTTACCAGAATGGGTATACATAGTGATTAAGATGGTTTTCCCAATATATTAATCTAAATTAAGTTCCTTAGCAAAAGCCCAGTAATTGCCTCCTCTTGTAGCAATTCACCCCCGCGCTCTCCTACTCTTCCCCAACCCACCATACCATACTATAATGGCAAAGCAAGCATGATTAGGGGTGGAACGATGGTTATACTAGTCGCCACGCCAAAGGCATGCGCTTGCACCCAAGAATGGGCACCTCCAACGTCTACAGTAAGGTTATACGTCGCTGACAGCGGTGCAAAGAAGATCTACAGATACCACGTGTCCCTGGGCCATGATGTGAGCTTATGGCGAAGTCAGCTTCCTCTAGGGGCTGGTTTGACACCCAACTATGGATCTACACAAGGTTACCCTTCTGAGAAGGTAGCTAAAAGCAAGAGGTCTCTTTCGTGAGTAGTCTTTTGGGTATAGACGGGGAATTTTTTTGTTGACAAAGCACATCTCTTCATAGCAGTAGAAGTGCAGCAGGTAGGTCATGGTGCTTGCGAGCTCTCGGTCCCATGCTGCTTCCAGGTTGGAGTGAACTTTGAAGGGTAATATGTTATTTGGGCTGGGGCTTCCCCACAACATCCCAAGAAGCAAAAGTATTCATGGGGCCTTCATAGTGGGATCATCAGAAACACCCTGGCAGAAGGGAGCGCTTTTGAAAGTCTGCAACCTCGGGAATATCCCTGTATAACACCTGCAGCATGTATTCCCTTATTCCCGACTAAGAACCATTAAGCTAAGAGCTTCTACGTACCCCAAATCCACGCCCTGCATCTTGAAGGGCTTCAAAGCGGAATAGAGAGGGAATCAGAACAGAGTTTAGGGCTTGACGGGGTTAAGGGTTTTGGAGCAGAAAATGGAACATGACATGGAACTGGGATTATATGGTGGTTTTTAGGGATTAGGGTTGAGCATTTCGACTGCCCCTTCGCAAGCTCCTGTTTGCTAAGAACCAACTTCAGGTCCAGCCTGGCATGGGAACTAGGGCCGATATTAGGGATAGTACCCCCCCATAGTAGAGAATCAACTGGAAAAGACAATGGACAATGAAATGGGACCTTGGGTATAACCCCTACATAAGCTGAGTTTCCTTTTTATTTTTATTTTCTTTCCACCTGATTCTCCATTACTGGGTAACATCCCTACATATAGCCATGGGAGAAGACATGGGGTCATATATTGGGAATATACAGGGCCCTTTAAAGGGAGTATATAGGGTATAGGCAATGGAAAAGAAAATGGAAACTACTGTATGATTTAGAGTTTGTGGTTTATAACGGTTGTATTGTGCCATCAGGGGAAGGACACGTGAACACTAATCAGGCCAAGTGGCAGAATCAGAGTTCCCATAGATCCATCCTGTACCCTGTCCTATTCCCGAAGCCTCAAGACCTTCAGCCCCAAACCCCAAGCCCTACACTCTAGGGCCGGCACCCTAAACCCTGAAAGGTATGTGCAGGACAACGGTGGGTCGCTGGGTCTGACAACAGATGGTGTGCAGCTTTGCATCATGCAGGTGGGGGAGTATACCCTTCATGAATAAGGTTTAGGCTTCATTATACATGGGATGTATAGGGATAATGGAAAATGACATGGAAACTAGTGTTCAGGTTTTAGGATCGCAAAGGGGTTATATAGGGAAAGTGGAAAAGAACATGGAAACTGAATAAGGACTTATCTCAAAGTGCCAGGGAGGACGGAGGGTTAGAGCAGACAAAGTTTCAGAGTTAGGCCCTCACCTAGCAATTGTGAAGGCTATATGTTACAGATTTCTGGTTTGGCACGAAGTAGAAGGAAGCTGCAGCCGCTCTTCCCAACATGGCCCCCCTTGAATTCAAATTTGCTCACCCCATGCTGCATGTTCTTGATATCTACCCAGTTGGTGCTATGAACCTTGAACAGCGTTTTAACCTCATGGCTGGTTGGGATTCGGAGGGAGGCAGCAATGGGGGAACATTTTCAGCTACTACGGTTGCAAATCTGAAGCCGCAGGTCTTTCGGGGTGGCTCAAGAACAATGAGTTTAATGTGAGTGTTCAGGGGCGACTTACTTCTCAAGTATTGAATTGGCGTACATATTTGTCTGTGAGGTGCTCGTGCTAACTCCTTATTTGTCTTTGTGTCACAGCATTTATTCGCGGCAGGCCATGTAGCCTTGGCGAGATGACTAGGAGGAACATGGTAGTTTCCATAGAGAGGGGGACCCCAATCTAGATCCCAATATATTATGCTCCTTATTATGGGGGGTCCCCAAAAAGGTGCCCCTAATTTTTGCCAATCCCCACATATCAGTTCAGAAAGCAAGCACCTGCGAAAGTGTGAATGCGTAGACCATGCAACCATAAAAGCCACATACAGCCAGGACTCCTGAACCTTGCTCAACCCTGATTACTTACATTCCGCATGACTTGCCCCCTGCACCCTCTCTGGAAGCACAAGTAATCCCTCTCCTGTGATAATTACGGACTCCATGCAATAATCAAAAGTCCTCCTTCTATATGCATATAAGGTAGTATGTTGGAACCATTCATTTTCAGGGGGTAGGGGTCATCATCCGGGAGGGGATTAAGCGGATCAGCTGTGCAGAACACGGACGCTTCTTGGGTCAACGTTGACCTCAATGGCGACGTCTTCTACTCAGATGCGACCTCCAAGAGCATCAACAGGCCATGTGTTCAAGCGAGTTAATTCAACTGCTTAAAGAGGGTTATAGTGGGGAGTATTACAGAGGTTTGTTTATAAAGCGAGATACTTGGAGTTAAGACTAAGGCTACGGCTCATACGGGTTGAGGATACATAGGGGTCTGTAGGTGGCATGTGGATATGCAGGGTTCTGTAGAGCTCAGGATTTAAGCGCTCGGCTTGTATCAGATATATTCAGACTCTATCCTAATTACATCAGGATGGTTGCCTAAACCAAAGCCTCATGCAACCTTGGACTTTAGTTGCTTTTTTTGGTTGAGCTTCTTGGGAACATCGGTAAGTGGATTAGGTAGGTTTCAATCTAGGGAGAAGGGCCCCTCAAAGTAATTCGTCACAATGACTGTAAACGTGGCTTCATGCTTTTTCTGGTCGGTGTAGGTTTGTGGTTGCGGTTCAGAAGGTTCAAGGGGCTAGAAGCCAGGTGTGCTCAGGTGATTGGATGACTTGCGGGGTTCTGTTTTGCAAGGGCTCCGCTTGCTGCAGTTTTTTCAAAGCGCTGCAAGGTTCGCGACAGTTGCCATGTTTAACAACGGAAGTCCCTTTCCGAGCTACGGGTTTGCAAGGCTTGTTTAAACCCAAAAGCTTGATACCCTAAAAGCGGCAAGCGGGTCTTGCCATATGCGCTGTCTTGCTTCCTGCTTTGGCCATGGAAGCGTTGAAGCTCTGAAGGAATCCACATGGCTTTGACTGGTTGCTGTCAAGGAACTTGAATTCAGAATTCAGAATACTACGTGGAAACCATGTTCTCCACTATATACCCATATCTTGATAATCTAGTTTGATTCCTGATAGAATTGGAAGTTGAGATCGACTCCCCAGCCTCAAGCTGCGCCAACCTGCGGCCCAAACCTCGTGCAAATTCCGCCTGCCTGCTCGAATCCTGGATGTAGGGGTTCAGCTTTTTGAGCTCTGCGCGATGTAGAGTATGCCGCCCGTGTTATTGTATGGTGCGTATTGTCGGTATGATGGTTGTTGTCAATGTTGTTGTTGTTATGGCTTGTTTGTTACCATGTGGGTCTTCTCGGTAGCGTTGGTATCTAGAAGCTGGGTAGGCGCACTTTGCACCTTGTGGGTGTCTAGAACCTTGGTATAAAAAGTGTAGACTTGTCTGTGTCTAGGGAAATCAGCAACTGGGAGTATCATCCCCCATGGCCCTGAAGTCAAGGTTCTCAACGAAATGCTATTATGAAAATGAGAGGATGCATACACATAGAAATATATGTACATATATCTGTATGTATGTACATGTTTATTTACGGTAACGCGGAGTGGGGGGTTATTTCGGTGTCAGTATCATTACAAGCAACTCCTCAGGCAGGAATTCCATAGGGCCTCACAAGGATAGTCCCTGATGGAGGTTTGGGAGGCTCATATCGGGGCAGCCATAGCGCCCCGATAACTACAGACAACCCTACAGGTCGAAGTGCCTAGTGTTCATTTACTTGCCCAAATTCGGTAGTACAACTACTATTACCCAACTCCCCCATGCCCAAATGCTGGGTATTTGGACCCTGGGCAAGGATACCTGTGGACGTCATCGACATGCTGTCGAAGGGGCAGTATGCGGCGAGTGGCTTCGACTATCAGAAAGGGTGCCTTTCAAGGTTTGTAGGATTCCTGAAAGTGGTGTGTAGGGATTATGGGGGGTCATAGGGATACCTGGAGAGTTTAGGGGCTAGAATTAATCAGAATCAAGATCGCCTACTTTTAATGAGGGAGCCTTGCATGATTCCAAGGAATAAGGGTACTTGCGGTTGTGCAGGAACAACAGTATGGCACCTACAGTGCCTTCGATACCTAACAAGCACCTTTTGGCAAAGTAGCTGTCAGAGGAAGAGCCTTCGTTGTAGAAGGATCCCAAAGAACTGAACCTCCCAGTGATACCGCGACGTCTTTAAGATAGTCACGTGCTCTTCTTTTTCTGGGGCAGACGCTTGGCAAACATGCCCATTTGAATGAACGGGATGGGGGAGTCCCATTTTCCCTAAGCCCTATTTAAACTCTAAACCATGCGAGTCTGGGTAAGGGCTTGAGCCGCAGGCGATCTCGTTCTCCTATCTGAGAAAGCCCTCGTGACAGGCAACCTCCGGTTCTGGGATTGGATACGTAAGCCTCATCAGGCCAAGTAGAAGCCTTCTGTGCCTGCTGTAAAGGCTGATTCTACCATATTCTTCTTGTGTACGTACCTCGCCGTACGGATCTCTGAGTGGGTCTTTGCATGTTGTCCCCAAGCGTGGAAGTCGTTTTAGTCGTTTTGGCCCCACAAAAGTTTCTTCGCTTGACGCAGGAGGTGGGGCCGCTCCGGAATCGGGATCAGGGTCTCATTTCGCCGCGGACTTGGCTAAGCCAAAAACCTGCATTGCTTTTCAGATGGCTCATGCAGTCAAACTTGAGCCTGAGGAGTCATTGTGAATGTTCTTTTAGAGCAGTCTTTGGTTGTGTGCCTGCGCCTATGAGGTCTACTCCGTCTACCAGGGCTGGGGCCCCAGATCCCAGACCTTACCCCGAACGCATGTCAAGGCATTTTGAGGGCTTGATTCTTGAATGCATGTAGAGCCAAATCAATTCTTTGGATCACAGATTCAGGATGCTGCGATTTAGGGCGTATGGCTTGGGGAGTAAGCGGATTTGAGGGACCCTGCCAGCTTCATCCCCTAGGAGCCGTGTTTTTGTTTTCGAATTCTTCCTGCTTCCATCTTGAACTGAAGTACTCCAAGCCCATTGGCCCCGATTTGATCGCAAATTGAAGCGAAACTGGTTTGGGGCTGGGATGGAGGCCATCGAAGCTGTAGTTCCAGGGTACTAGCGACATGAAGCCACATGTGGGAGTTTGTCAGAAACAATCCCTAAAGAAACCATAAAGGGGACTCCACAAGTCTCCCCACAATCCCTACATATGCCTGGGGTTCCCCGTTTTGGGGAACCCCTGCGTCTCCCAGCTTCAGGCAGTGTGAATCCACACGTTTCCACGCCTGCCGGTCTTGTTTCCGATGGAGCCAGGAGCACACTACTTTCCTACTGGCGGTTCAGGGTTGTGAAGGGTATATATGGAGATTATATAGTGATTCTCACAAGGGCTCCCCTACCCCCCTTGCCCTTAAGAACCAGTACTCTTGGGCTTGCTCATGCTTCTTGTTGTGCGAGGTTGTGCAGTAGCTGATGGCCTGTGCTGTTGCTGTACGGAATAGCATGCGCACGGTCGCTGCCCAAGGCTGATGTGGGAATCTAGGAATCCAGGACCCTGATGCATGTTAAGTGCCGAAGTGTCCAAGTCCTGAACCCCAAACCATGTGGCACCTGAGCAGGATCTATTGGACCAACATGGTCGACGGCAAGACAGCCGGCAGCATCGTAGAGGGAGAGGCATCGTGCTGCATCAGGTCTGATCCCCTCCCCACAACAAATTGACGCTCCCCCCCTAACAATAAATATGCTCCCAACCATATAATGGCAGTATACAGGGAAGATTTTTGGAGGGGTGCGGGACTTGTCCCATTAATTAGGTCATCATCAATCTGCACCCCAGAATCCTGTGGGGGCCTATTTATTGACGCCACAAGCAGGAACACGACACCATGCCTGGGCCAGTTTGGGGTGCGCAATGTTCAGCATAGGCCCTAGGCCTTAGGGTTGAGGGTTTAGGGATTAGGGTTTAGGGATTGGGGTTTAAGGCTTAGGGATAAGGGATTAGGTTCAGGGTCAGGTTTAGGGATTCATGCCTAGGGGTTAGGATTGGAGTTTTAGGGCCTTAGGGTCTGTGTCGAGTGTATTGTTCACAGAGCCATAAAGCCTCGCATAGTACCTTCAAGTATCTCGTTATGAGGCGTGTATCGCAGCAGTACATTCGAAAGGAGGGGTGAAGCGACTGCTATGCTTTGAAGATCCCTATGCATACTGTAGAACACCGCCAGAACTACTGTCCAGCTTCCTTGTATAAGTATAGCTTAGGGTACCTCAAATAGACCTCAGAATGATAGTAGCATTTATCTAGGCGCCTACATTATATTCCCCATAAACCCTCATAGTTCATTTCCATTTTCTCTCCATTTGATTCTCACTCCATCATTTTGGTAATATCCCTATAACTATAACCCTCTCCTCCTAATATTAACCCCCAACACACCCGCCAATATTAGATACTCTTCAATATACCGTAGTATACCACATTATGGGAGTATTTAATAGTAGGGTGAGGTGGGGGGGTTTAACTTCTGTGGAGGGCATCCATCCTAGCAGTGCCTGTGGCCATGGCCAGGTATCTCCAAAGCTCCCGACAGCAAAGGCTGGCGAGCCCGCTGCTACTGCCTTCCCTTCGCGCGTCCTCACGAACGAGTGTCTTGGTCTGCTGGGAAGTACACGTCGGGTTGGTTAAAAAAAGGGGGCCTTGAGTACGTGTAGGAATTAATCATGCAGAATCATAGGGACCCCGCTTAAGGACTATGTAGGGCCAATGTAGCCGAGACGTAGTTATATGACGCTTCCCAAATTTGGAAAAGAATGAATGATCTAGCATTTGCGGGCCTATGAGAGACCCTAATTTCTAGAAACTCCCAGACGGGAGTTTGCCGAAATTGCACTTCTGGAATTCTTACGTAAGAAGTATATTTCCCAAAGGCCCGAAGGGTAGCTCCATTTTCAGACATGTGTATGCTTTATTGTGGGTGCCTCGAACATCAGAGGGAATATCTATAGCTGCCCTACGTAGAACTCTTACTCAGATGCCCTTATACTCTAATATACTAGAAAATACTACTAGTATGATAATATGCGAAGCCGCAAGTCATTGAATAAACCTTCCCGAAGCTATCCGCATTTTCGATGAATAGCTTTTCCATATGCACCCCAGCATTCTGACAGCTATATTTGTAGTCCCCCTTAAGTAGATAGAATCTGGCTCTGGGAATACTATAATAATAAGATCCCCCAAAACCCCATATCCTATCTACTTAAGGGGCACTTTAATTGCAGGGGCGTGCGTTGTTTGAGATCATTGCATTTGCTTTGCTCACTAGGATAGCTGGAGTTGTAATCTTATTTGGGTGTTTGTAACCAAAACTACCCATGAATCCACAAGCAGGGGAAAGGATTGGTGTATGTAGGCCTGAGACATAGCCCGCTGCTTGAAAAAAGGGGGTTGAGCAGGTTGGGGCTGGATTTCTTGTTTGTATTCGTTTTGAGAAGTACCAGTGACTAGCGGAGCCCTACACATTCCCTAGCTAAATGACGTGCTTCTTCCCGGGATTTCTTGGCGAGCGTTTGGGTTTGCATTGGGGGATTTCTCAAATTGGGGTAGCTATTGGGGGCAAGAACTTGAGAAACCTCCGCCAGCTCCCTACCTGAAAGAGCGGATCCCTGCCATCATTGTGGTCTCTCTGCCCAACTTTCCTCTTCCGTTCTGAGTGTCTGAGTATCATGGCGCTGAGGACTGATGCCGGCTACGGGGTCACAAAGCGTCTTGGCTTGTATTCCCCCCTGCTTCGTGGCAGCTGTTTAGATAACACAGGAGATTACCAAGAGGACTGCGTTGCAAAAGTCTTTTTGAGGAGAAGCCCAATACGTCTGGCGTGAGATTTTCACGTTCTTTTTCAGGGCTCTTGGGGCCTGGGGCACTCCCAACACTGCTGAGTATGCGAGTTCAACTGTGCTGATAAAGGAAGCGCTTTGATGACGCAACATGCGATTAACTTTGCCAGCATGCCTCCCCGACCGTGGTGAGTAGCTGTCCAGACATGGAACCGTTGCCCTACTTGTGTTCAAGCATCAGGGTGGAAAGTTGACAGCGCATGTTCAGTCGACACCGCGCTGCCGCCTCATAGCCGAAGTTCCGCTGAACTGGGTTCATTTCGTCTGCGAAGGACATGTGAGCTGCTCGTTCTGTTTCCTGCCATTGGCTGGCTGTACAGATATCAAATATGTAGGTGTAAGGAGAGGAGGGTTCAAGCTCCTTTCCGATTAGGGATTGGTCTTGGGCTGTTTCGCCTCCAAGTGCCTCCAAGTGCTGCAACTTGCGAGGACTAGGTGACGAGCATTTTTGTTTGGCTTGTGTCCTAACAGGTCATCACGGCATGCTGCGAAATCGTGTTATGTTCGCCATTTGGTCCTTCTCAGGCCCCTTGCCCCCCAAACCTCTGCGAGCCCTTGCCTGCGAAGGTCAAACAAGTACATGTTCTACGCCGCTGACAAGAACGGTGTTGGTGTGGTCACTGGAGTTCGGGTCCCGGCTTCCTTTGCTGCCATTCTGAGGGCAACAGCTGTAGACGCAGGGCAGGGACAGTAACCTCGACAAAGAAAATGATGAGGGACCTAGGCAGGAAGACGCACAAGTTACAGCAAGATTACATCTTGTACTCGCTTACAGTGATTTGTTTGGATTGCACTATAATACTACCTAGTTGGGGACAGCTCATGGCTGACTTGGACCTTTTTGGCTCCCGTTTTCTGTTTCAGCCGTGGCTAGGTGAGCTAGATTCTAAATTCCTTAAAGGGGGTAAATAGGGGACTACATAGGGGAGCATTACAGGTGTGATTAAGGGGGATGCTAGGAGTTCAGGCTATGGCAATATCACCCCAATATAACCCTAATATTAATCAATGGGTACAACCGTGAACTTCCCCAGAAGATGTGGACTTGTGCTGGGCTGGCTCCTAGAAGCTTCAGTGAGCTTCTCGCTGCTAGGGGTAACATAGTATTGGGGTTATATTGGAGTTATAATGGAGCATCAAATTGAAAGAACATGGAAAAGAAAACGGCAAATTCAATGGACACTGAAAGTAATGTGGCTTTAGAGTTTAGGGTTTGTAGGGGCTATATTGAAAATGCAATGGAAACTATTATTTGGGGCTGGAACTGAAGGCCGACGTTCATCTGAATCATGAGGAACATTTTCAGGAATATGGTCACTACTTCTGAGAAATACTTTCGGTTTACCCCCCACCCAGTAATAGTGACTATAAAGGGATATTAAAGACTATATTAGGGTCCTCTTATATTCCTATTATACCACTATTACAGGGTGGGGGTCCTCCTAAGAAATTCTGCATGGCACCTGCGGCTCTGGGTCCGCTGACGCACCGAGGTGACGGAAGGCGGCGCAACCTTCGATTTCATCAGCGGCCCCTTGTTGGCACCTACTTGGTTGATCCGACTGAGGAAAACTTGCCCTCCACCTCTAATATCCCTAACCCCTAAATAGTAGTAGTTTCCATTTTATTTTCCATTATCCCAATATGATCCCAAATATAGCCCCAATATCCCCAATCCCCAAAAGTTCCAGGAAACCTTGTCTGCTCAGGACCTGTATCTAAAGACCATTCCCTCAGCTCTTTCTTTGCAGCACCCTTGGTGCAATAGCGCTGAGCTTTGAGGATGACATGTTCTCCTTTCATTGTTACGCCAATGTCCTTGTATGGCTCCACAAAGCCAAGATGTCCCAAAAACATCGTCAAAGCACAACAAGCGCAGCTCAAACAGAAAACACGTACTATTCCCTCACATTCCTTGCAAAATGTCCCATCTTCCGCTCCCCACAACTTTGTGTAAGAGAAGATGAAATGTGCTCATGCCTTGAAGCACTGTGCATTATCACGGCAGTTACGTGATCCTGACTACAGCTGAAGCCCCACATCTCTTGTTTGCTCCTAAGCTTTCTCAGACCTCAACATCCCAAACCCGAGGCCCTAGCCCTAGTCCTAAGACGAAAAATTCCCAACTCCTCAACCCTCCACCTCTAATATCTCTACAGCCTCTATATACCCTAAACCCCAGAACCCAATACCCAATCCCCAACAGTCCCAGGGCTCGCATCTCCCCGGGGATTGGCCTGGGATGGCGATCAGACCATCTTTGTGGCCGATGAGGCTTCGCAGTGCTCTGAACTTTTCGCATTGGTAGATGAGCTGGCTAGGGCTTAGGCTAGGGTTTTAGGGTTTAGGGTTTAGGATTCGGGGTTTACGTAGGGTTTAGGCATTCGCGTCTGACAGTCTTGGACTGAGTACGTGTGAGAGAAAGGGTTTAGGCAGTTTTCAGCATTTGCAATGAAACCCAACCAGTTTCAGCCTGCATGCGTCCAGGGCGCTGGAGTTGTCGACGCCTCAGGAGAGTAAACTCGATCCGCCGGATGGTAACTTTGACATTAGTTCTTACTACGGGATCAGGTTGCTCAAAAGCTTTATTTGTGCCTGATTCCGCGGGCCGCAAGATATGTTGGCTTCTTAACTAGGTTCATTTTCTTGGAAGATTCAGGTCCTTGTCCCAATTCAGTCATCCCAGTTATCCCTCCTGGTAATTGCTTCAGCTTTCTAACTGCCCAACTCCCGAACCTTGAACAAGATCCAAGACGGTCCAGAACCCCAACTTCAAGGATAAGGTATGTTGTCTTGAAGAGTTGTAGGCGGGTTCAAGAGGGAAAATGGATGCCATGAACGGAGATGGAGCGAGAGTGGTTACAGAGGCTGTTAGCACAACCATTTAAACGCGTGTGTACAAGCCCCAGGGAGCCTGCATTTTAAATGCAGTTGCTGGATGTGCAGCCCTGAGCCCTCGATCCTAAATCTAAACCCTTTTGTCTGCACGGCCTCAAAGTCCATATTTGCTAATCCCATGGAGAGCAGCCTACAGGTCGACCCTGCCTGGAACCTACTGTGTCCTTCGGGCTCCCCAAAGCCGTCCCCAGCCAGCAGGAAAAATCCGTAGAACCCACTCAGGTCTACTCTTTTCCAGGGGGACGGCTCATGACCGGAGCGCCCTTCACCAAGAGCGCCGTGCTTCATGGTGCTTTCGGCTGCTTGGCTAGAGAATTACACAGCTTTGTAGGTTCTGTGGGTTTCATGAGTCTATCTCAGGCTTTATGGGGATGACTTCCGACTTTCATGCAGCAATGTTCCCTGGCAAGCGTTGACTCCGAGGCTTAGCTGTCTTCTCCGAGCATGACAAGGACAGACCCTTTTTGATGGTTTAGGGGCTAGGATTGAAGTTCAAGGTTCAAGCTGAGCAGGATGTCAATCTCAATTCGTTCATGCAACTCTTTCAGACAATTCTTTCATGCAAGGATACTTGAGGCGTCAGGGGGACTTGCAGTAGTAAATAGGTCAATCATGGAGATACTTCATGTAGCTGTACGCTTATTGGGATTATACGTTATAAGTATACGTACCGATGCCCCCCTGACCCTCCAAGTAGAAGATTGTAGCCGGGTTGCAGGTCGAGCTAGGTGGCTGGCTTCGGCTCAGAGTTTCATAAGTGCTCAGGCAGGGAAAGCCGAAGTTATGACCAGGTTAGGCCCAAGTCTCGGACAAGCATTATGATGGATAACGCTAGCATTCCATGATATGCCTATCCAGCCAGATTCTGAGTTTGTTATCTCAAGTTCAGCGCTCCGGCGTCTTGTGGAAGGACATGGGTGCTCAAGGTTTCAATGTTACTTGATTTAGGTTTGCCTTGTTTGCTATTGATCAGCAACGCCTGTACGGAAATTGAACGCCTCAACCCAAGCTTGAGCATCTAGGAAAGGCCCGGGGTGTTATCTGTGCCTGCCTTGTAAACAGCCAACTCAAGCGGGGCTTGTTCCTCATGGGCAACAGGAGCCCCTCAGATTCCTTGCCGTGTTTAGTTTAAGATGACATGTGGCACCCTTAGCCCATGCGTCTGATACTCTTGCCACTGCTGATCCCCCTACATATACTCCCATACAGCCATCTGACTCCCGCATTGATGGCTATAACCTAAGACTCACACACGTTCACGTCCTTACTCCAGCGGGCAAAGCTGCCAGTGCTGTAGAGCAGTCCACGGAGCAAATCACATAACGTAAGTGTCTGCTTAAGCCTGGCGGCTTGTCCTGAACCCAGAAGACTCTCGTCTTAGTATATACCCCCTCAAACGCTTCACGACCCTGTGGAACCCAACGCTGTTGTTGGGGCCCTTGACCCCAAACCATAACCACTGAACCCTAAACCCTCACTGAACCCTAAACCCTGACAAGGCTGCGCTAAGCACATTTCCATGTCCGATCAGGCAGTCAGAAAACAGCGCACAGAAAAGTGGCCTGAAACATCCTGAAACCATTCCTCTACCCCGGCACATCCGGATGCCTTAAACCCGAAGCACGGCTAAAAAAGGAGCGCAGAAAAAATCAACACAGAACCCTTAAACTTTCCTAAGCCATTCGCAAAGCAAGTGGCAGCTAGAAGGGAAGTATCCTTATCAGCCAGGCCTGGCCCCTCCAGCCTTTCCGATCCTGAAAATGACAAGCACCTCGGGGTGCAGATAGATGTGCAAATTTTACGGTTTGGGTGGGTTAAGGGCGCCATGGGTCATGATTTGGTTTACGGACCCTTTTCCACCTTTTCGAGCAATAGTCCTCAAATTGACAGATGCCCCACGCCCCAAGTATGAATCAAGTTGAGGGTTCAGACTTTTCTGTTTTTTACGACGGAGCATGGCTCTTTTATGTGCCGCATCTACAGGGACCGCTGGGGCATGCTGGGGCAATGGTTTCTGGCAGATGTGTTCGGGCTTGCGGGGTTTCAGGCTTCGTGCTGATAGTCGTAGTTCATGGTTCGTATCGGCTAGGAGCTATATGGATGGCGCCACAGAGGTGGTAATCATGGTGAAGCAGGAAAGATGGTTCGGGGCTTCAGGTTTGAAACTTGAGTGGGCTGAGGATCACCAAAGGCAGGATATTAACCCTTTGCAAGCCCAAGACAAACGGTAAACGTCTCCCTGTTTTGGCAAGGTTGTGCCTGCCTGATAGGAGTTTGCCAATGGTTGGATGGCGGGGCGAGAAAACCTTCCATCCCTCCATCATGCTGGCTGCCACCCCATCACAGGGACCCAAGCCTCAAATCCACTCCGAGCCTTAGACGCGCAAAACCAAAAGGGGCGAAACTAACGGGAACCCATGGTAGCCCACTTTGAACAGGGCAGTATCAGTTTTCGTGGAGCTCTTGTGGGGTGTCCCTGATATCTGAAACCTTGATCAGGTAGATGCATCGAGAGCACTCACTCTGCTTCCACAGCAGCGGCGCACCGCGCAGCGAGCGCGTAGCAAAAAGAGCGCAGCTTTTGAGGGCTGACTTTAGTCTTTAGGGAATCCCCCCCCAAAAAAACACCCCCAACAGTTGCGTTATAATGCCACAATGTCGAGTATTAATCAAAGTGGATGGGGGTGGTTTTTGATGGGGGCTTTATGGTCGCAGTACAGCCAGATT